ATCTGCTGATGCTTCCGCTGGACCGGTCAGCTGGCTTTCAGTGGTGCCTTTGTCCTCGATTCTGTCCCTGATCAGTCTCAATGCCCCTTCTAAAGCCATCTGTATACTCAGCCCAGATCCTTGAGATCCCAGCCCAGCAGCTCTACTCTTGGACGGAAGTTGGAAAAATGTACATAAAGGTCAGGTTTAATTTTCTTTTCATGAACCAAGATGCCTCATTTATCAATAGGAAGAAGCTGCTGGGAATCATGCTGGCATCATTGATAAAAGCCCAAGGTATTGTTATAAAGCTACATCTTGGCTTTCGGTGGCCTCTACCCTTCACCGACTAGTTCACTGGACACTCCTACTGTTCGGTATTTTCTTTTTTTTTAATTTTTTCCCTCTTCTGATACTGTGTGAATGAGTGATGCATCTCATTCAGCCAGATGCTTGAGCTTAACTCCCTGCACATACTCTCTGCGATAGCAGAAACAATGAGATTATCTTACAGTGGTCTCCCCAAAGCTCAAACCAATACTGCTCACATCTCAAACCATTACTGCTGAATAATCATATTCAGCCCAGGGTAAGAACTTCTCCAGCATTGAGGGGTTAGTAAACAATTCTGTTATATAAACTGATTACATTTTAAATTTAGGTTTCAAATAAGTTCAGCCAAACATGTACAAAAATATACTGATGCACGGAGACCCATTCTGGCATAGCTGCTGGGAGATACACATACCCAGACAGGAGTGTGACAGGAGATTAGCTGCATCTAATGCTAATGGATGATGTGAATGACCATGTTTGCACATGGTGATATTTTTTTTGACTGATGAGTCTAGGGAAGTGGTCATGTGATCTGATGACAGCCTACTTTAGGGGATTCTGAACTCCATGTACACCTCCCTTCAGAGACTCATGTTAATGAAAAGAGCTCCAGTAATGGGACTACAGTCTGTGCCCTGGACAGTTGGCCATTACCTCTTGAATCCTCACACCAACCCAGAAGTGGCCAGCAGTTGTCAGCTGCATTGACAGAGGAGGAAACTGGGACCATCCCGGTGAAATGGCTTGCTTATGGAGACATGGCTGAGGCATAGCATGGCCAGCAGACTCACCATGTCCCCTCACTTAAAAGCCCACTATCTCCCACTTCAGTTGGAAATCTACCCATACTCCCCTTCTAGTTTTGCAAGTTAGGAGGCTGAGAATTCTCACTCAAAGAATACATTATCACAAGGTTTTCTTGACCATATGCCTTGGGTGGGGAATACTGACCCTGGGCCTGTCCCCTTAGGAAGCAGGGTGGACAGTTGTTTCTGTTAATATTAGGTTGCACCCAGCCACCCTGAATAATCAGGGAAGCCCCAATTATGTGCCTTTTTGGTGAGATGTGGTGTTCTGCCTCCCACTATAGAAAGCAGAGAGAAGGTGGGAGAATCCCCACATCCCTGGAGGCCAAGCTTCATGCATGCAAGTGGCCTGGGTCTGGACAATTGGAATTTCCTGCCAGTTTCCTAGGCAGACCATTTCTGCTGAGAGGCACTTCTTACATTTCCTTCCCCATGGACCACCCAAGCTGCCTGAGCTGCCAACTTCCCAGCCACTCCTTCAGCTCCTGGAGCCTCCCCGGTCCTTCCAGCAAATACCCTTCCTGGCTTTTTATCTTAAGTGCCACCTTTTCTGCTACACTATCAAGAGCTGACCACCTTCTGCATGCTGAGGTGGCACTGTGTCTGGCAGATCACCAAGAAGACATCTCACTCCTTGATTGCTGGGGTTTAGATCCCCAGGTGTCTTGTTTGGGCTTAGCTAGGGTCCTGAGTTTTGAAGTACAATATTCCTTTGTGGACTCAATCTGGCCTTTTAAATTTGGTTTTGTCCAAATAAAAAAACTATATAAACATGGAAAACATTTGTGTTTGATATTCTTAAATGAGAAAATGAAACTTAAAATTTATAAACATTACTCCATAGAGAACATGAATAAAATGTCAAAGTATATATGACAAGGCTTTGGTGAACCCAATAATCTCTATTTTGCCTGAATTTCAATATTCTGGAATTACCTTTTGTTACTTTTTTACCTTCAGAAAGCAAATTTAAGGAATGACTCTTTCTACCTTTCTGTGAGTTAACTCACATCAGGAAAAATGTGGTTTGATAGAGTATTTTTCTATTGAGTACCTAGCTCTCTCCTCATAGTTTAAAAGAGCCTGTCACAATTCCCAACATGTTAATGCTAAACGAGCTGTGAAGAGAAAGAAGCACATGCCCAGGGTTAGAATGAGCTACATTAATGAGAGCCAAGTATAAGGCTATAAAAAGGAAATATACACACGTATATGTATATACGCATATAAGAACATAAGGATATTCACACATCTGTGTATATGTATGTGCATATGTAAAAAATCTTTTTATTTCCATACTTTTTTGATGAGCTCTAATGGAACTTAAGTTGGAAACAAACTGATAGAGTCTGTGCATTAAGCAAATGAAATGTCTTAAATGTTTAACAACCCCTAATGGAATTCTTACTCCTTAAACTTCTCCTTCTCCTGAAAGTCACTGGACTGGAATGACGATCTGAGCCCCTGGCCAGGTTCTCTGAAACATCTCAGTGGCTTGATAGGGATGGGCTTGTTTCTTGACAATGAAAGGTTAGGAGTCTATAATAAACTTCATAAAAAATTATGAGGCTATAATTTATAAAAATGCACTTGTTGTGAATTCTCCTTTTGCTGCTGTTCACGTTCCCAACTGGTTTTTTCCTAAATGCTGAGGAGCTGTGTGCACTAATTAGCTGTTCCCCTGCATTTCCATCCCTGTCACTCATTCCCCATGTAGCTGCAGCTTGAGGCCTGTGGGAAGGCATAGGGCTGTGGGTGGGGCTGCTGAGTGGTGAGTGATGCCATCAGGGTCTGAACCAGGGAACCCGGAGTCCATGCCTCCCATGCCACTGAAGTATTTCTGCCATTAAGTCATTCACTCACCACTTAAAGTGTTAACATTCCATACATCTACATGGAAAATCAAACACTAAAAACCAAGACAAAGTGTATCATTCAAGACACCAACAAGAAACAGATGGCTCACTCAAATTAGGGAATTTCAAAGAAAGTTTATTTACAAAGAGACTCTTTATGAAAATGTGGGGAAGCACAAGGAACACTGCTGTAACCTGGGGTCAGTAGAGGAGTAGCTCCCATGACTAAGGCTGAGGAGATGAGGGGAGAGATTCATGTTCTGAATTTTCAAGACTTACAGAAGAGACCTTTTAGAGAAGAGCAGTGACATTTGCTTGAGCAACAGAAATAGCCAAAGGTAATATATCAGAAAGGGAGCCAAGGTGAATAAATAATACCAGGGTACTCTCTTCCCTTGTTCTCATCTTCTGCCAAAGTTCTTCCCTGGTTAAACTCAACTGGAAGTCAAGAGGAGGGGGGTCCACGGATGCAATCCATATACGTAAGTCTTCTGAGGCAGGAAGGAGGGTGGAGAGGAGCAGGAAGTGAATCTAGAGGATCAAAGAGAAGATGTCCAGCATGCAAACAAAATAAACAAACACAACCTAGGGGCAAAATGGTTTCAAACTCTTTCATTAGATAACTGTAACCTTTAGACACTAGTTATATAAAAACACTAATACATTTGTTCAGCCTTTTGTCATATGAACTTGGGAAGCAGTCCCTCCCTGAGAGATGAGGGATAAAAGTTTACCCCATGAGCATCACACAGTGACATCAACATCTAATGGATAAGAGTGGAGATAGTGGAAAGGGACCAAATGCCTTCCAGGTCAGCAGGATCAGAAAACTACGAACAGGCATTTGTGTATCAATGGAAGCAATATGCTGGTCAGTGATTAGTACAGGGTTCTAGAAACACAGAGGAGGAAGGGAGTCTTGGAGGCAAGATTTGGGCAATGAACTAGAGAAAGAGTGCTCAGGCCCCAGCAAGGAACCACTCTGATCCCCTGCTTGGCATCCTGTTGCACAGGAACACACCTGGGGTCCCTCCTGCTCCCATAAAACCCCTTTGTCTTGGGTACATGATCTTCAAGCAGCTCTCATTCTGATCTGGCTTTATTTGTAGTGTGGATACAAAGTGAGAATGTTCTGAGACAACCTCTTGTGTCTGAGGTGGTGGTCATATTTCCAATGACAAATGAGAAAACTGGCATTCTGCCTGCATTCTTCAGTCCTGTAAGCTTGACTGCAGTCTGTAATGGATCAACTAGTATGAGCTGACCACCTAGATTCTGAGTCTGCAAAGCCAAGAGCCAGAGTATGGACCTGAGGCTCTTAGAAAGTGGAGCTGCCTTCTCCCTGCGGATGTGAGAAGCACTACCCTTTACCTCTGGGAATTTCCATAAACTTCTCATCTAAAGTCACTTTCATAGATACTTTCCCCTTCGATATTCACTGCAGCCCTCTGAGAATGATGATTGTCTTCTTGTATTTCAATGGATATGAACAAAAGGTCAGAGAAGGGCAATACATAGACCAAAGTTACATAACTACTAGGTCACAGAGGAGGGTCTTGAAATCAGACCTGAGTATGAATTTAACGTTAGTAGTAGTTATAGCTTAAATGCATTAAGAAATGAGTATGTACTAGGCATTTTTCTACACATTTTCTAAGCATTAACTCATCTATTTCTCCAAAAATCATATGGATAAGATTATTATTATCTTCATTTAGTATGTGAGGAAAATGCAGCCAGAAGATTAATATCCTGCCCAACGTCAAACATTTACTGGTGATGTGAGTTTTCAGCTGCAGGGGGTCTGAGTCCAGAGACCATGCTTTCACCATGTGTGACTGTGCCCTGGGGTCCAGACTGAGGGATGGGGAAGCAGAGGGTGGGAAATGAAGTAGTGGGGACAGTCCAATTCAGACCAAGCCAACTGTTATGGGGTTAATGAGCTCAGATGTTAATAGCAGATTTTAACTAATCCTTTACTTATTAACTCCCTGAATTAAATGCTGCTTGCTTTGTCTTTCAGAATATCTGAGGATTTAACCCCAGTGCTTGTTACTCATTTGAATGAACACTCCAGGAGGTTCAAAAGGTTAAGTTACTAAAAACAAAACCTTCGTGTTTTGCTTTGTTTGGTTTTGGGGATCCAACTGTCTACTTCTAGTATTTATGGAACCAGAAAGTGCTAATATAACAGGAATGTGATGGGTAGAGTAATTTGATACAAAAGAAATAAGAAAGAAAGACCTGGAAACTGTTGAAAAAAGATGGTTCTTGCAACATTTCTACCTGAGTTTTTTTCCCAGTCCAATTCAAGTGTTGGTTTGACAGAGGTTTTTGTCAATAATGAAAATGCATTTTAACCTTTACCTGGGCCAAGGCTGTGCCAGATGGTAGAGCCTCTAGCACATGTTGGGGTCACAGAGTGTATTTCACTGCCCCTGCTTTCTGATACAACTCCATAAAAGGGCACTATTTTGTCTCACTTCAGTACTGTGGACTTATTTTTACATGAGCAATCTTATAGGGCATTGCATAATGGAGTATGTGTTAGATGGCATCCTTGTGTTATGCCATCCAACATGTTGGTCACTAGCCACATGAATATTTAAAGGTAAACTAATTAAAATGAAATATAGTAAGAATTCAATTCATCAGCGGCACCAGCCATATTTGAAGTGTTCAGCAGCCTCCTGTGGGGTTGGTTAGTGACAGCTGCCTTGGATGGGGCACACACAGGGCATTTCTGCCACCAGAGAAAGCTCTACTAGAGAGCTGTGTGTAAGGCCCCATCTCAATTGGGAAGGAAATGAAGCACGAAAGGGGGTTCTTTTGGTGAAGAGGTTTCTTCCCTGGACTCGCATCAAGAATGGCAAGATGTTTGTAAATCTCAGGGAGCAAGCCAGCTCGGGTAGAGGCTCAGCACTACTTTGGAAGCCAGAATATTTATATCCCACGCATTGATTGTGCATCTATCCTCTTATTCTCTATGATACTACTAATGCCTTTAGGAAGTTAGAACCTCTATCAGCCACACAAAAGGGAACCAACGAAAATGGCTTTGGGCCACAGCTGGATCTGAACTCCTAATAGTGGTAGTAGTAGTAATCAAAACGGAGAGTCTGGGAGAGGCAAAACTCGGGGTAAGAAAATGGGGGACCCTAGGTCTGCCGGCCATTCCGCTTGCCTGGAATTCCCTTTCAAGGAGATTCTGGATTTTGTTACTTTGTCAGAATCTGTGTTCTCTTTGTAAGAAGCCATGTCGCCAGCATCTCTGAAGCTTTCTGCCTCTCTTACAACAAACTAAGCTCAAGGAAATTCTTTTACAGGCATGATTGTCTCAACTTTGACCACGCATTAGAATCATCTGGAATCTTTTAAAGCACCCAATACTCAGACTGTACCCCAGACTAATTGAATACAAATCACTGGGGTGGAAGGTGGTGTTGTTTTAGACTCCCCAGGTGATTCTAAGGTACAGCTAAAGTTGAGAAACTGCTCTCTCTAGAGAATCCTTTTAAATCATAGAACAGAATGACCTAGACACATATTCCATGACCTTTTCTCCATCCCTCAGTTTGACAATAATATGAAGGCCTTTAATTTATATTAAGATGATCTGTCTTGATGGCAGTGCAGTAAAGGAGAAAGAATTCTAAATCAGGGGCCAGAACATTAGAGATTAGTCTAAACTCTTCCCCAAAGAGCTATTATCTTATGCAAACTGCTTCACCTCTCTGCACTGTCATTTTCTCACCCATAACCTGGAGGCTTTAGACTTGAAGAGGTCTAACTTCCCTGGAGTTGTCCACTGTGTGCCTAATACTGTTCCAGATGCTCAAATCTGTGAGTATGGAGATGAGGTACCTCTGACGATGTAGCTGCTAACCTAAGCGTTTGGAGATAAGGAGACCTTTTCTCCTTTGATGCCCCACAGTGCCTACTGCAATGCCTCCTTAGCAATAAGCACTTACTATTGCTGGCTGGATGAGTGTGTACTTTAGATTATTCTCTCCCAGGGTATTGATGAGTCACTATTATGGACAAAATGAGCAGCCTTTTTAAAGTCATGGAGGTTAGATGTAGTGCTTCTCTGCCTCTCAGCCACGTCTGTCCCATATGACTGGAATACTCTGCATGGTCCTGTGCATACAGGACAAAGCTTGGGAACAGGATTTAGGATTTGACTCCTCAGATCAATTTGGCCGATGCACAAGTTCCCACTGGAGGTTCCAATATATGGCCTCCCCTCATCAGCCAGGCTCAGGAATCAGGTGTGGCTGCGCCTACCAGTTAAAGGCAGCAGAACCCACAACCGTTTCAGGAACACCCCAGGAGACCAGGATCCTCTCCTTTATCCGCTGCTAACTAGCTGCATGACCTTGGCCACAAAACATCTCTTTATATGTCAGCTTTCTTATCGCAAAAATAAGCTGCTCGGGTCATGTGATCCTAAGATCCTTTCCAAATCTAAAGCCATTTGAAAGAACGTTTTCTTTGGAAAGCTATCCTTGTTATTACTCAATGCCCTGTTCTTTTCAAGGTGCTCGACAATAGATTTTGTGATTATTTCCTCTATCTTTTCCCCCTAACTTCCTATGTAGCAAAGTTAAACTTAGAAGCCCAGGGTTTTTTAGGGTCATTTCTTTTTCCATTTAGAAAAAGAAACCACGTTGTTCCATTCCTACTTTGTCAAATCGTTTACCCTTCAAAAAAATCTTTAAAATGGTACCTGATGATACTGAAATTACTCTGGACATGTTCTTAAGTGTTTGTAGTTCAAGTTGTCAGGGCCTGGAATGGATTTTAACTGTGTCTCTTATTTTGCCTCATTTTCTTTCCTCCTATTACAGGGTTTCTCTGCATAGAGACTGAAACAGAGTATCCTGACTTCTTGGTGTCGTCTGCCAGCAATTTTTCCCACTCCTTAATACAGAGTTCTCAAGGCATGGTGCCTTGCCCAGTAGCAGAGGTGGCATTTGGGAAGCTGTTAGAAATGCAAATGACCAGACAGTCCCAGACCACAGAATAATCAATCTATGTTTTAATAAGCCTTACGGTGGTTCTGATGTGTGCTAAATTTGAGAATTTGAGAATTACTGCTCTAATAAGAGGCAGCATTTTCTCTTTTCCTTTTCATTCTTGATATACTTCCCTATTTCCTTAGGTAATACATTAAAAGACTATGTGATTGTTTCTCTGTAAATCTTTTGAAAATGGAGTTCTGTTTTCTGCATTGACTTTTCTTATTCTGGCTCTGAGAGACCTATTAAATTCTCCTCTCCTTTATTGAATGGCTTTCTTTTTTCTTTCTTTGGCTTTACCACAGAGTAAGTTTATCACCTGGCATGAATTAAATGAAATGCAACCTAATAGGTGGCTGATGAATATTTTTACAAAACTCTGGAGTCTTGCTACTCCAAGTGTGGCCCTGATTCAGCAGGACAATATCAGTGTTACTGGGGACTGGCTGGTTCTGTAAAGTCTCCAGTCCCAGCTCCACTGACTGAGGATCTGCACTCTAAGGGTCCCCAGGTAATTAATGTACAAATTAAGGTGTGCAGTGCTCTAAAATAATACCACAGACCTTAAATGGAACAACTGTTTCTGAAGCTGGGATAGTTACTTGAAAATTTTAGCCAAGCTGACAAGTTTTATCTCCAAGGCAAAATATTACTGTACTTGGTAATGTGAGCTTTAAGATGATGGCAAAGAAGGAAGAGAATACTTTATCTGAAATAGGTTACACACAATCAGTGAAAAGGTTTTCATTCTTCTATACAGGATTGTTTCAACCCAAGGATGGAATCACAGAGAACATCCAGGTGTAGGTAAAGGAAGCATAATTAGAAAAAATTTGCCAGGATTAGCATATAGACCACTCGGCCAAAGGAATGGCATAGATAATGTAAAGAGACTGCAGAATGGATCTAGAGGCACACATGGCTCCATATGAGAGCAATGTAGTAATGTTAGTCACTGTGGTGTGTTTACCGAGTAGATAATAAATAAACTCTGCTATGCATTTTGCCTGCATCATGTCACATAACACGACAACCCAATGAGGTTGGTACATCATTATCCCTATTTTACAGGGGGGAAATTGAGGGGGTTAAGTAACTAAACATGGATATTCATTCCAGAAGGTTTTCATTGCTCTTACTGCTTTAATTAGGGTAACATTGGTGGCAGTAACAGATAAAATCACATGTCTTGATGGCTTATGAAAAATTCATTCTTACTTATGCAAAGTTCAAAAAGGGTGTTCCTGGTTAATGGAAGGGAGGCTTTTTTTCAAACAGCTTCCATAACCCAACTTCCTTCTTTCCTGTAGCTCTGCCGTATTCCTCATTGGCTTCCTAGGCCAGCCTGCCTCTGTAGCCAGAAAAAGATGGAAGAAGAAGAAAGACATGGGCCATTGGCTGAGGGGGATTGTTTAATGGTCCAGCCTGGAATGGCATGCATTCACATTCTACTGGCTTGAACTTCAAGGGAGGCTGAGAAATATGGCCAATCCCCAGAAAGAAGAGGAAACAAGTTTGGTGAACATGTCTCTACCAAACTACCTGCCTGAATTCATGCAAGTAACTTATCCTTGCTGATTTCAGTTTCCTCATCTATAAAATGGGAATAATTATACCTGCATCATCAGAAGGCTGTTAGAATTAAATTTCCTAACCTTTATTATGACTGCAGTGCCAGGCTGATAAAGTGATTTTTCCCTAGCTGATGGAAAAAGTGCAGCCCATTCAAGACTTACTCTGGTCTTACTGAGGATGAAGGCATGAGAGAGACTCTGGAATTAAGTAAAAGTATTATCAAGGAGTCCAGAGGAGCAAGGAAATTAATATTCATCAGTTAGGCATAAACACTGAATTTTAGGAAAGCAGATTTCAAAGACTTTGAAGAAAATATAGCCTCTTGGTTACAGACTGCAAATGTGAATGTGGATCATTATGGAGGAAAGGATCTAAAAGAAAATCAAATTCTGACAGCACACCATACATGATTACGTTAAGGAAGAAAAGGAAGGAGTTGATGTCCAAAGACATCTTTGCTGCTGTTTGGAGTGGTTTCTTGAAAAGGGGACGTGTAGAAAATAGGGAAGCCAGAATATACTCAATACAATTATCAAAGAGCATCATGTATCAGGAAAGGCTGAAGTCAAAGGCAACAGAAACAACTTTCCCTTCTGCTTGGAGGAAACACAGAAAGGAATCAGGCCCTGTGATCAGAGCAGATGATGTGAAGGTAACAGCTCAGAGCAAACAGCCTCCAGCCCCCATTTGCTTCTCTATTCTCCTTCAGGAACTGGGGAAAATGGAAAACTGGTTCAGCAAGGAGATCATCAAACCTTTAAAATGGGTCCAGACACGTAGGTGCAGGTGCACGACCTCCCAGGATTTATGGGAACACAGATTGAGAGTCAGGAGATTGGAGACGGCCAAACCCCCTGATTTTTGAAAAGCAGAGCAAGGCAGGAATGACCACTCTAGTTTGGTGACCTTCATAGAGTTTCGCCTCCATCCCGACCTCCATGCTTTACCTAAGAGCTTGTGAGTTCTTTGGGAAGAAGTGGGATGCTTGTGGAGCAGCACAGTTTCCCTCATCTCAAATCTAGCTCATTTCTCCCTCCAAGGGGAAATGTGCCACAGTCTTAATATAAATTGGTTTCAGCAAAGAATTAAACCAAATGTAGCACAGAACAGGGACTCAGTTAAATTTGTTAAATTTGTGGATAGATAAGATCCTTAGTAAGAAGAGAAATAACTACTGGTTTAGACAATGCAGTTAGGTGGAATTATGTAGTTCGAACAATAGATCTGTGTCTTACGGAGAAGGTCTTTACCAGGTTATCTGTCTAGCCCTGTATAGACCTGGGTTTGGTCTTAGAATTGGCATGGAATGAAGACCCAGGAGGTAAATATGTCAAATCTAGGAAAGATGTGGCCCATTTAAGGAGGTAGTAGCTGCCCAGTTCCCAGAAGAGGTTAAACTGGGCTGCAGTATTATTTCAAAGTCTGGAAACCACATGAAGAGGACCAGCAGGGAACTAGGACCTGCTCCAGTGGCCAACAGTGAGGATGAAAAGGTGGAAATGAGGCCACATAAGCAATGGTAAGAGAGACCAGGGTTGTTTAGCCTGGATAGGGAAGACTAGAGGTAGGGGTGTGGGCATATGAGCCACTTTCCACATGTTCTAAAGACTGGGGAGGGTATGAGCTATTCTAGGCATCCCACTCTTATTTCAGTATATGCAGAACGTAAGGCTTTCCAAAGCAGTGATCTCTCTCTGGTCTGAGTGGTCACCTTCCAGACGTGTTAGTCGATTATTCCAGCTGTGCATGGGAAATGGAAGCAAATAACCGCTATATCTCTGGAACCAAAAGCCAAGGTGATCCTCGATTCCCCTCTGGCATTTTGTTCTCCTTCCAGATGACAAACTAAGGTGCTGGATGTGCAGCAGCTGGCTGCGCTGGGAAGTCAGGGCTGCTGACTCGCATTTCTTTTGCATTGGCTGCTGTGCTGTGAGGAGCAGCACGTGCATGTCACTTCCATAATGCATGCCGCCTCCAGCGGAGAGATGCCTCTGACAACTGGCCAGGGAAGAGCCCTGATGTCAGCTGTCAAAGCACCAACAGTCTGAGCTTGCAAGCGGGGAAATGAGATTTCGTTGCAACAATAAGAGAGCAGACAATATGTTCAAAATTAAACTGACCTTAAATAAGTTCTTACATCTATATGATACTGAGAGTTCTCCAGGACAAGCCAAAATAGCTCTCATTAAGGTGGTAGTTACAATGAGTGGCACATTATTAGTATAGTGGTAAATATTGTGATCCTTGTGTCTGTCTGGTCTGAACACCTCAAAGGCTGTCCTGCTTTTCTATTCATTCCTCCATACCCACAATAAATAATCTTCCCAATTCATTACTACCTCCTATTGAGAAAGTCTCTTTTTCTGGGGATGAAAATCAGGAAATCTGGGGTTGGGGAACGTGAGTAAGTGATTCTAAAACAAAGTGTTAACATAGATTTCATGTATTTCTCAAACAGAACCCTAACATTGAGCCTGAAGCTGATGCAAATAAGGTAGTGACATGTGATTCATATTTATACTGTGTACGTGTCTATCTTGGCACACCATTAAGATGCATCAGTGAAAAATTTCACTTGCCTCCATAAAATCAAAGTTAGTTATTATGAAAATCATGAATTTCTCTTTTCCGAGTAAATACCCCAGATTCTCCATCCATTCCCCAGTGGACATGTTTCTGTAACTACCCTTGACATCACAGTACATGTTTCATTTGGTCTTGTTGAGAAATGGCCAGAATGAACTTCCAGATTGCAGAAAGGAGAAGAGGCCCATCTACTACCCCATCCAATTCCTTGTTCTGGCTACTCCCTTCCTAGTAACGTGGCCTCATACCACTGTATTTTCCAAGGCAAGCTCCTTGGGCTCTTGGGTCATATGAAGCTTACTTTCAACATAAAAACCTTTTGTCTTTTTGATGATATGAAGTCACATCTTCCCCATACCACATTGTTCAGGTTGTTTTTTTAACAGCAATGGAAAATTCTACATTTGTCTCTGTTATATTTCATCTTATGAGATCCTGTTCATTATATCAGTGCGCCAAGAACTTATTGAGCTGGTTCCATAACCCTACATTTTTCTATCCTTCCAAACCCTATATGAGCTGCAGAGCAAATAAAGCCACCCTCTACCTCTTCATCTAAGTCACGGATTCTATCATCCAGGACATGACCATGGATTTTGAGTAACTTTTCCCCTTTCAAATCATTTGGCTGGAATATATTAAGCCATCTTTATTTTTGTGATGTACTCACCCTCCTCATCCTCTGTTATTTCTTCTGTTCCAGTTATCTGTACACGTGGTGACCTAAAACAACAACCACTTTATTGGTGCTCACTGATGATGGCTCAAGAATGTGGACAGGGCACAGCAGGGTGGCTTCTTTCTGCTCTGAGATGTTTGGGGCCTCAGCTGGGAAGACGTGAATGGCTGCTGGTGATTCAAACAGCTTGGGGCTGAAAGCATCTGGAAGTATCCTCAGTCGCATGTCTGGCACATGGGCTCAGCTGGGGCAGCCCCCTGAGCACTGACATGTGGCATCTCTGATCAGCTGAGCTTCTTACAGCCTGGGGCCCGGTCCATGAAGAAGCATCCAGAGAGAGAACATTCCAAGAGGACCTGGGGAAGCTACACAGCCTTTTCCGATCTGGTCACAAAGCATCATTTTACTCTGTTGGCTGAAACAGTTACAAGACATCCCAGATTCAAGGGAAGAGGACCTACCCACCATCTCTCAATGAACAAAGTGTCAAAAAAGTTAGGAGCATTTAAAAAAATATATACATTTGACAGCTCTCCAAATCTATTGAGCCTTATAATATGAAAATTATTTTAAGGTTTTTGTTAAGGTTTTGTTCAGACAGAAAAAGCATGAATGAGCACACATAAGAGTTACATATTAATGTTCAACCCATATGGAGGTTTTGTTTTAGTCTACCAGTTTTGGAGGCATATTTAAAGATGAGTAGAATATTTGAAAGCATTGTATTTGATGGGTTGAGTATACTACAGTGGCATGTGATATTAAAAGCCCTAATGCGCCATACATACAATTTCTTTAATTCATTCATGCCTTCTCATAAGTGGTTGGTTCTCAATCATGAAGCTCACCACACATGTGGAATTACTCTTGGAACCGGAAGCTCCAGATAAGGGCGGTGTTACAGGTGGAGGAAATGCACTTTCTGTCCCAGGAGCCAGCTGAGGGCTTCTGGCACCGAGGCCTCTCAGAAACACTCAGAAGCTCTCCAGACTAATTCTGTGGGAAGGAAGATGTCACAAGCAACAGAAAGCACCTTCACATCATGAGTAGTTCATGATAAGGCAATCAAAAACATAAAATGCAGGAAGAAGGTTAAGGATTCAGGGGAGGGTCTCCACATGGTGCTTCAATAGGAAGCGGCAACATTGGTAAAGCAAAAACAAAGACATTTAAAAAACCCTTAAAGCTAAATTCTTATCTAAATCATCTAAGCTGGATTTCATGTTTTTTTTTCCTTTGGTCATCATATGATATTACTGTTTAGAACCCTTGTCCTCAGGGCCACTGTGAACACCAGCACCGTGTCCCAAAGCAGCATCAGTGTGTGTGATGGTTTTCAAAGATGAGCTCCAAGAGGCTATGCATCTGCCTGTTGGTTCTGTGAACAGCCATATCATCTCATGTTATGGATAAAGTGAACATTCCTGTGGTCAGGATTCTCACCTGGCCCTGGTCGGCTGGCTCACCACACACGTGGGAGCAATATATTGTTATTGCCTCTATGTAAAGAGCCCTACCTAGAGCTCTGGGCGACACCATGGCATGGCTGCAAGGCTGCAGGAGAGCAGAGACTAGAGTGGTGGCAGCGCTGAGGACAGAGACTGAGATGGCTGTGGGGTGTCTTGCCAATGGGTTTCAGCCCCAGGTAAGCTCACTATGGATTCAGTGTGACCAAAGAAATGACAGTAGAACATTCTTGGGTTACACACAACATTATTTTCATGGTGGCAGGTCAATCACTAAAATCTCGTTCACTGAGAGCAAGTCTTCATGCAGCAAGTGGGTCTCTGCCTCTGGGCCTCTCTAACAGCATAGCTGTCCTCTGGGCCTCTCTGCCTGCACAACCATCCTCTGGGCCTTTGTCCTCTGCACTGCCACCACTCCAGCCTCTGCTCTGCTCTCCTGCAGCCTTGCAGCTATGCCACCGTGTTGCCCAGAGCACTGGGCCGAGCTCTTTATATAGACTTAATAGCAACGTATTGCCCGCACATGTGTAGTGAGCTAGCCAGCCAGGGTCAGGTGAGAATCCTGGCCACAGGAACTCTCATTTTGTACACATACAGGCAGAGAGGCCCAGATGCAGAGACTGGCTTGCTGCAGTGGATGGAATTCTAGTGATTGACCTGTCATGGTGGGAATAAAGTTGGGTATAATCCCTTTGATCCCAAGAAAATTCCATTTTCATATTTTTTGTCCCATTGAATCCATAGTGAACTTGTCCAGGGCTGAAACTCATTGGCAACGCACATGTTGATCTCCTTCTTGAGATCAAACAGGGATGATAATGGATTCTGGATTGGTCAGCTCTGACTGGCCAAACCTCCAAAATTTGCCTGGTTTCAGACATATCTGCTGGGATGTAAGAATCATTCTTGTTTTCCTCTCAGAGTCTGTTACTTGCAGTCCTCAGTGCGACCTAGGAGCTTCTAGACCAACATTCCCCTTGGAATATATGCTTGAGAGGGAAGGCATATGTTCCCTCAGAGTTATGTGATGAAAATGCAGCTTAGAATTTCAAGCTCTCCTTTCAGAGATTCAAGCTTTCACAGACCATTTTAATTAAAGTTCTCTAGACAGGAGGCAGAAAAAAGATTGACTGGAATGAATATAACCTGCATGGAGCAGTGAAAAAAAAATCACATGGGGATGTAGAGTTATACAACATGTTTTTGAGAAACAAATCAATATGTATCCCACAAACAAAGCATTGGCTGCCCAAAGATAAAGTTAAAAATAACACATCAAGTGGCTTGAGGCACAGAATTATTTGAAAAATACATCTTTATTGCCTTACAAATTCACTTTAACAAGAGATTCGTTTTTCCACTGAAGGACGTGCTGATTATTGTCCTGTGGTTTTCAATTAATAAGTTCACAGCTAACAGTTTTTAAGTACACTGAGTCATGTAAATTTCCATATCGCAGCAGCTAATTTATTTGTTTATTGTGGTCTCACAGGCACCACATGAATCTGGTTTTGAAATCAGTTCCAAGTAAAGCAGATGAGTTTTGCAGGAGAGACAATACGTAATGAAGACCCTCAAGCTTCTCCCCGTGCTGCTCCATCTAGAGAGGGTTTCATGCTGCCATAGCAAGTGGGAAGGGCAAAGAACCGACGTTGCTATCCACACTGCTAGGCTAGGAGAATCGAGTCCTGTTTCTGAGTCACTGCTATCTTTATTTATGATAATACACTTTTTTCTTTGAGAGCTCTTAATGTATTCACAGACACAGAAACACAAGGATCATTAAGTTACAAGCTGGGTTTATTTACCGTTTGCAGCTAGCTCAGATGGTGTGGTGCTACTGAACAGCATTTGCATTTTAAGATTATATACCAGCATTTCCGCTTTGCCTGACCCCTGTCCCTGACCCAGGCATGCACAGGAAATTTTACTTGGACTTTAGGAAGCTGATTCTCCACAGAACGGTTCAGAATTGAGGAGGGATCCTTTTGAAAGATCAGATGTTGAGAAAGTTCCCCCTAGAACTGGCAGGCTATGGCCTGAGTGGAAGAGCAGGGAGATAAAGGGAGCAAAGTTTATGAAAAGGGAAAGAATATGGAGAGAAGGGATCAAAGAAATATTAGAAAATTCTGACACCATTCTTTCAAAAAAAATGATCTGTTTCTTTGAAATGAGTAAATGAAGAAACGTTTGAGCATTTCAATCAGTACAACACATAGACCGTGAAGAAAAAGTGACATGAAAGCATTGAGAAATAAAATTGAGTAAAACGTCCCCAGTTAATTTGAAAATTTCAATACACTCTCAAAATTGCTGGCAACCAAAGAAACCTCACAGCTGTGCAAATTGGAATTTTCTTTTCTTGGGCGTCCACACGGATGGTGTAATTGCATATCTGAATGTATATGCTAGTATTTGTACTGGCCTTGAACGTGTTGATCTTGGACACTTTTCTCCTGTAACCTATTAATGTTAACATTTTCTCCCAATGCATTATGAGCTACCATAAGCGTTTTAGTCCTAAAGCAGCTTGATCTTCAGATTTACTGTTCCATGAATATAAGGAGAGCCCATTTTTGTCTTCCCCAGAGCTGTCATTTCAAGGGGGCCCCTTCTTCCACATGTTTGCCCCATCTGTCTCCCTCCATGTTCTGCAGTGGAAAAAAATAGGCAAAGTAGAGACAAAAAAACATGGAAACCACCAGAATTGAAATATGTCTGAATGATGCCCTTACAGAAATGGTTTAATTTTGGATTCTTGAAAAATAAAACTCAGATGTAAATAAGCTAAGCATAAGTGTATCTTGTTTCAAGACAGGGACTAGTTTTTCCAGTAAGCTGGACACTCTCAATGTTGCTCCCGACCTTCATGTGTGTGATAAAGTAGATATAATGCCTCTTAGAAAATTAGGTTTGGGTGGCTGTTGATTCTTCTTCTTGCAGGTCATGGGGCTTTAGGACACAAGTAAGCAATTGTGATTTTTTTTATTTTGGTATCATTAATGTACAATTATATGAGCAACATTAAGATTACTAGACGACCCCCATCTTCAAGTCCCCACCACATACCCCATTACAGTCACTGTCCATCAGCAAAGTAAGATGCTATAGAATCACTACTTGTCTTCTCTGTGTTATACTGCCTTCCCGTGCCACGCCCCCCCCACATTATGTGTGTTAATCATAATGTCCCATTTTCCCCCTTATCCTTCCCTTCTCACCCATCATCCCCAGTCCCTTTCCCCTTGGTAACTGTTAGTCCATTCTTGGGTTCTGTGATTCTGCTGTTGCTTTGTTCCTTCAGTTTTATCTTTGTTCTTAAACTCTACAGATGAGTGAAATCACTTGATACTTGTATTTCACCCGGCTTATTTCATGAGCATAATACCCTCTCGCTCCATCCATGTGTTGCAAATGGTAGGATTTGTTTTCTTCTTATGGCTGAATAATATTCCATCATGTATATGTACCACATCTTTATCCATTCGTCTACTGATGGACACTTCATTGCTTCCATTTCTTGGCTATTGTAAATAGTGCTGTGATAAATATAGGGGAGCATATGTCTTTTTCAAACTGGGCTCCTGCATTCTTAAGGTAAATTCCAAGGAGTGGAATTCCTGGGTCAAATGGTATTTCTATTTTGAGTTTTTTGAGGAACCTCCATACTGCTTTCCACAATGGTTGAACTAATTTACCTTCCCACCAGCAGTGTAGGAGGGTTCTCCTTTCTCCACATCCTTGCCAACATTTGCTGTTGTTTGCCTTTTGGGTGGTGGCCATCCTAAATGGTGTGAGGTGATATCCCATTGTGGTTTTAATTTGTATTTCTCTGATTAGCCATGTGGAGCATCTTTTCATGTGCCTGTTGGCTATCTGAATTTATTCTTTGGAGAACTCTCTGTTCAGATCCTCTGCCCTTTTTTAAATTGGATTATTTGCTTTTAGTTTGTTGAGGTGCATGAGCTCTTTATATATTTTGGGTGTCAACCCTTTAGCAGATATGTCATTTATGAATATATTTTCCCATACTGTAGGATGCCTTTTTTTTTTCTACTGATGGTGTTCTTTGCTGTACAGAAGTTTTTTAGTTTGATATAGTCTCACTTGTTCATTTTTGCTTTTGTTTCCCTTGCCCAGGGAGATATGTTCATGAAGAAGTTGCTCATATTTATGTCCAAGAGAGTTTTGCTGATGTTTTCTTCTAAGAGTTTTATGGTTTCATGGCTTACATTGAGGTCTTTGATCCATTTTGAGTTTACTTTTGTGTATGGGGTTAGGCAATGATCCAGTTTCATTATCTTACAGGTAGCTGTCCAGTTTTGCCAAAACTAGCTGTTGAAGAGGCTGTCATTTCCCCATTGTATATCCATGGCTCCTTTATCATATATTAATTGGTCATATATGTTCAGGTTAATATCTGGACTCTCTACTCTGTTCCATTGGTCTATGGGTCTGTTCTTGTGCCAGTACCAAATTGTCTTGATTACTGTGGCTTTGTGGTAGAGCTTGAAGTTGGGACACATAATCCCCCCAGCTTTATTCTTCCTCCTCAGGATTGCTTTGGCTATTCAGGGTCTTTTGTGGTTCCATATGAATTTTAGAACTATTTGTTGGTATTTTGATAGGGTTTGCACTGAATTTGTAGATTGCTTTAGGCAGGATGACCATTTTAACGATATCAATTCTTCCTACCCAAGAGCATGGGATGAGTTTCCATTTGTTAGTGTCCTCTTTAATTTCTCTTAAGAGTGTCTTATAGTTTTCAGGGTCTTTCACTTTCTTGCTTAGGTTTATTCCTAGGTATTTTATTCTTTTTGATGCAATGGAATGGAATAGTTTTCTTGATTTCTCTTTCAGCTAGTTCATTGGTAGTGTATAGGAAAGCAACAGATTTCTGTGTATTTATTTTATATCCTGCAACTTTGCTGAATTCAGATATTAGTTCTAGTAGTTTCGGAGTGGATTCTTTAGTTTTTTTGCGTACAATATTATGTCATCTGCAAACAGGGACAGCTTAACTTCTTCCTTGCCTATCTGGATGCCTTTTATTTCTTTGTGTTGTCTGATTGCTGTGTCTAGGACTTCCAGAACTATGTTGAATAAAAGTG